CACAGTAGTACCCTGCTTAACGCGGTCAATAAAACCCACAGGGTACCGTGTTAAGTAAAAACCGCGCGAAGTGAACAACAGAACATATGGGATTAATTCCAATAGAAACTGGCCCGACCCCCAAACTCCACTTTTTCCGACACAATACCTATGTTCTAGTAAAAATATCTTAATTTTATGATGGTACATGCACACAATTAATACTTAAGAAAAATAGAGAAATACAGTCGCCAAGTTAATGTCCATTCAAATAATGGACTCAACTCCCTCCCCCTCTTCTCACACTACACTGCTGGCTCTTCCCTCTCTGAGAAATTTTTGGGGGAAAACCACTAAATTTTAATAAATAATACCTCAAACTAAAGTTAGGATAATACAATTGACATTGCTGGATTCCTTGTAAGACCAGGAATATTTTGAATATAAATGTCATATATTTTGCACAAAAGATAACATATTTACTCAGAGTAAACATTATATCTAAAATTTGTATGTCTAATGCAAAATCTATGATGTTTATATTCAAAATGATCATCAAATTGTAAGAATTCCAGCAATGTAAATTATATTCTGGCCGGATAATTTGTATGAATTTTATGAGCTAAATTAAAAAAAATTATACTTCACCCGTGTAAAGGGGTACACCCACCGCGGAATGTGAGCATCCTGGGTTCTGGCAGGGCACCGCGTAAACGTGGAAACGCGAATGTGGGACCGCGTAAAGTGAGGGTTGACTATATATATATATATATATATATATATATATATATATATATATATATATATATATATATATATATATATATATATATATATATATATATATATATAGATATATATATAGATATAGATATATATATATATATATATATATATATATATATATATATATATATATATATATATATATATATATATATATATATATATATATATATATATATATATATATATACATACATACATACATACATACATACACATAGAAGCTCGATAAATGTGACTATTTGAGGCAGACCCCAACCCGAAAATGCAAAGGTCCAAAAAAAGCCAATATATGGAGAGAGGAGACAACACTCCTTATCCAAACTGTTTAAAGAAAATTAGCTATGTTATTACTGCATGTCAACAACTATATTGGTTGAAAATCACACTTAAGTCTAGTTATCAACATCGTTTTCACCGAGATGATTGTTATTTACTGTAAAGTGTTAAATGTAAGTAACCACAGAAATTGTCTTATGAATAAAGAGAAAACTGTATACCTGTACTGTACAGTGCTATAAAGATAAAAATAAGAACAAATTAGTGTAGGAGTATATTGTATGTGGAAGAATTATCTGGGAGCAGCTGCCAGAGAGGAGGGGAGGGGGGCTGGCACAGGTGGGTGGCTCCCAACCCCAAAGATTCCTTTACACTTCTTTATGCATTTTCACCATAACTCATATACTTTAGATTCATTTGGTACCAGGTTGATAAACTATTATCCTAAAAGAATCAGCTTTCCTGAAAAAAGACTCACTGAACACCATGAGTCATTTGTTTACAAAGGACAAACAGCGAATTCACTTACCACAACGTCAGTGTTCAACACTTAGTAAATAGTACAGTACAGTCATGTACACTACTGTAGTGTACAGTGGTCCCTCGGTTAAAGAACACAATTCGTTTCACAGAGTAGTTCGTTAACCAAAAATTTCGTTAACCGAATCTATTATTTCAATGGGATACAGTGGTCCCTCGGTTAACGAACACAATTCATTCCAGAGGGTCGTTCGTTAACCGAATCCATTGTTTCAATGGGATATTGGGTAATTGGTTCCAGCTCACCGAAAATTACATACAAAGTAAAAAAAAATTGCAGTAAAGTACACTTACTTTGAGGTGTGTATGTAGAAGGTTCCTGGTTGATGATGATGATGGGAATTAGAAGTGGGGGTGGAGGAGAAGGGAGAAGAGAAGGAAGTGGGGATGGAGGAGAAATCGCCTTTCAGGGGACCCATGCTTGATGCCGTCATTTCACCCATAAAATTTTAAGTTCACTAGGTGTAATTCAAGATTATTTTATTTAAATCAACACAGGTTCGATTAACGAAATTTCGGTTAACTAATTGCCTCCCATAAGGATCTTCAATTCGGTTAACGAACAAAACTTTGATTGACGAAATCCTTACGAACATCACGTTTTGTTGTGAGCATCAGCTGGTCAGCTGATGGGCTAGTCTGCCAATTCAGTAATCTGTTCTATGTTTACATTCGTTCCCAGTGGAGTAAATATCAAGAAAGTTGTGCTCTTTAATAACACTGGGCTGCATTTGAAAAAAAAATTCATGAGGTGCAGGGTTTCTTAGCTGATTCTTTATGTATTTTGCGTGCTGATTCCAAAAATGCCATTCATTTTGCCCAATCAGGTCAGATTTTTATGCTATGGGAATTAGGAAAAAATCGAAATTCTTAAATATGATGTCAAAATTTTTATGCAAAATATATCATAAGAAATGTAACCACAACACATAGGACCAAAATATGTCAACTACATAGATGCCTTTACAGTTAGACATGCATAAATGGCTGTCGCAGAGAATTTCTTTGGTGGTTGGTGTCTGGGGCGTCCCGTTTCAGACACCAACAGTAGTCGGCGAGCATGTTGATATCCCAGCGACCCTGGTACCGCTCCTCCATTACACGGATATCTTGATGGAAGCGTTCTCCTTGTTCCTCACTCACATCACCACAGTTCTCTGGAAAGTAGTCCAAGTGGGAGCTGAGGAAGTGCATCTTGATGGACATGCGTGCACCAAGAACTTTGTAGCTCAGAAGTAGGTCCTCAACAACTCGTTCATACTCTGGACTTCTGTAGTTGCCAAGAAAATTGGAGACAATAGACTTAAAGGCATGCCAGGCTTTCTTCTCATTTACATCCATGCTGCAATCAAACTTGGGATCTTTGAAAAGTTCTCTGATCTGAGGGCCATCAAAAATTCCTGCATTCAGCTTTGCCTCACTGACTTTTGGAAATTTTTCTTTCAGAAAATTGAAAGCCTAGCTTTTTTTGTCCAGTGCCTTTACAAAGTTTTTGAACAGACCGAGCTTGATGTGCAGTGGCGGAAGAAGAATGTTCTGCGGATTCACCAGAGCATGGGCAACAACATTGTGAGAACCTGGAGTAAGTCCACTTCTTGCAGGCCAGTCACGTTGCATGTAGTGCTGCTTGTCTGCTCGACTATCCCACAGACAGAGGAAACATGCCATGTACCACCAGATGAAAAAGAAATTTAATTGTGAAAAAATATATGTAAAAAAATACGGACATGTACTCTTTTCCTTTGCGTCACGGCGGACATTTAAATGCATCATAAGGGCATTAAAACTGACCGAAATCTTTTCTGTGAGGCTTGCCAATGTCTCGGATGATTTTTTTAATGAACGAATATGAGAACCCCCATTTTGAGCGAAAAATGCCAATATTTTACCTGAATCTCCGCTTAAAATGCTATAGCACAAAATTCTGACCTGATTGAGCAAAATGGATAACATTTTTGAGATCAGCATGCAAAATACACAGAAAAGCTTAATAATACACAAACCTCAAAAACTATGCAGGGCAGTGTAATTTTGCATTTTTTATAATAAAATTATTAGTCATTTTAACATTTATTTAACATACAGTATTGATAATATATGCAGTACAGGGAACTAGTTTTTTGTGCGCCCATCAGACACTTGACTCAGCCACCAGGCGTCAGTTGGGCTTTGTTGCCAGTGGAGTGAACATCTATTATGTTGGTGTCTTGAATATTTTTGCATTTTTCATTGAAATTATTGGTCATTCTGAAATTTAGTTAACATATTGATAATATATAGCACATTGCAGTGTTGATTTAAATAAAATAATCTTGAATTACACCTAGTGAACTTAAAATTTTATTGGTGAAATGACGGCATCAAGCATGGGTCCCCTGAAAGGCGATTTCTCCTCCATCCCCACTTCCTTCTCCTCCACCCCCACTTCTAATTCCCATCATCATCATCATCAACCAGGAACCTTCTACATACACACCTCTTTGTAAGTGTACTTTACTGCATTTTTTTTTACTTTGTATGTACTTTTCGGTGAGCTGGAACCAATTACCCAATATCCCATTGAAACAATGGATTCGGTTAACAAAATTTTGAGTTAATGAACGACCCTCTGGAATGAATTGTGTTCATTAACCAAGGGACCACTGTAATTGGAAAATCCTCTCACAAATAATCAGAAACAAATTTATTAAAAATGTGACGGTCTACCCTCAAGTCCGTGCTTTATTACTTTATTAACAAAGCACGGATTTGAGAGAAGACTCACATTTTTAATTTATTTGTTTCTGATTATTTGTGAGATTATTTTCCCATTATTATTTATTTGTATGTGTTTTGTGTGTGTCTACACACACTAAAACAAAATTCAGCCCATAAGAGCCCGCACTGATAGATATAAGAATAGCACCATCCCATCTATTGTTAAAATAATAAACAACTCCTGATTTATGTACTAAACAGCCCTGTAAATGTATTCAACGCATATAATTATGTCTAAATCAAAAATGTATGTTTGTATATTTTCAGCCACCAGCTGCAACTCTATTAATAAACGGGCAAACACGTAAAGAGAATATATATTTCTTTGTACAAAAGTAAAAATGACCCCCCCCCCCATAAGTTATTCGTGGATTTGCGGCCATTTTGAGAACCTAACCCCCTCAAATTTAGGGGGGCCCCCCTGTACTTTCACTATGAAAAGTGATTCCTAAAATACTTTTGAGACTTTCAGAGAATTAAAAAGGTTCCAGCACCTAAGAACATGTAAGAGCTAGTGAAAACAAAGAGACCCAAAGAATAGGGAAAGAATTATGATTATCATATTTTCAGACAATGGAAGCAAGTTAAGGTACACTGAATGACACCTTCACCTAGGAAATCAGCACCAAAAAATGGATTAAAGATCTACTAGCCCTTACCGGTGCTTTCTCCACCTTGCGGAAGCACTTGTTAAGAGAAAGGTTGTGTCTGACAGAGTTCTTCCAACCAGTGGGGGCATTTCTGAAGTAAGGGAAGTGGTCTAATATCCAGGCATAGATATCCTTCACTGGCAGAGCTTTATTAGTCGAGTCCTCAATGGCCATGAAGATGAGGCACGAAAATGAATAAGGTGGCTTTGCATTTACATGTACCTGGAAGGAAAAATAATATCACAAATAAACTGCTTTCATAATTAAAAATTCAGGACTTAAAATAAACAAAGCAGTACAAAAAGAGGTCTTAAAAATCAACAAATTCAAATTCTTCTTTTCTAATACGTACAAGGTGAACCCTGCACTGAAAATTGAGCACAGTTGCTGTCATATGTACTTATCCATCTCCCTCTTTTACTTTCTGAATAAAAGGGGCTCCTATACACAGTAGATAAATACTAGATGAATAAAAAAACCTGAATTCTCATTACCATAATATTACTGAACTGGTGGAGGTAGTGAAGTACTTTACAAAGTCTCACCTGAGGATTGTATGGTATGGGCTGTGAGCGCGAGGGCTGAGTGTGAGGTTGGTCATTCAGGGTGAGCTCCCCTGGTTCTAAAGGATCCGAGGTTTCATCACCATAGTCACTGGTGGGAGACTCGGCCTTGACCACCTCGCTGCCTTCACCAGTGGCTGCTCCCGCCACGCCCTGGCTCAACTTGACAGGGGACAGAGCCGTGCCTGAAGGAAAAAGGGATAAAATATACAGTACAGGTACTTAAAAAATTTTCATACAGTATATGAGCCTGTCAAATCACATTACTGTACAGTATTGGATATCAACCAACATCAAGTTCCAAGTTAATGTACTGTACCACCATCCATACCACACTACCCACACCTCTACAAGACAATTAGTACTATACCAATACCCACTCCTATGCTAAAAACTTTTAATTACACATGAAAATCCACATTTTCTTCAGTCAGAGCTGACAAGATTGTCCATAGAAAATGTGACACACAGGTTTGAGGACTAATTGCAACTTACTACAGATGTAACAGTACCTTTGCTTTATATAAATATTCACCCAAATGAATAACACCAACTTATTCACCAAGTTGTTCATGAAGTGAGTCAACCTGTTGTTGGCAAACAAACAACTGGTCTTGCAACTCTCTCAAAGGTCGAGCGCAGGTCAGCTGATTGATCAAAACAGCCGGCTGGCTCCCACGCTTCTCTCACACCCAGAAAGAGCCCAATAGTATACGATTACCACTTGGACAGGGAAGTCAGACATGTAACTCAAGTGTTATCTCAAAGTGTTATTCACAACACTTCCCTGGAGAGAATTCATAATTTATTCTCTTAGATTATAATCTGTGTATATAGCTACTTCTACAATAAACAAGAAAACAGCTAAAAGTGTTTACATCAAACCCAGCCACTTAAAGAGTTCCAGAACTTAATTAAAACAATTAATGTGATACCAGAACAGCTATCACACAGAATGTAACTACGAATGGCTATCATGACCATTAAAAAAGATTTTGTAGTCAGGTTAATTAATATTTTAAATTTCATTTGTTGTCTACAAATTTAATTACTGGGTAATATGGCCAATGAAGGAAAACAACATTGGTAAATTGGTAAAAATCTTGTCCTTAATTGCTGAAGTTTGATTAATGGCCTAATTTTGTTGACAGAAGAGCAAAGGGGAACACTTGCTCACTCTGTAGTCACATTCATTCTTTCTTTTCATAACACTTGGGGCTGGTGTTGGGATTCTTTGCGTATGAAGGGAAACAAACAGGAGTACAGTACTGTACAGCTGCTCCTCGAATTACGACATGGTTAGGGACCCAAATCCAGGTCGTAAGTTTAATTGGAAGTAATTCGAAAATGCTCAAATAATACAGGTACTCCTCGACTTACGACCACCCGGACATACGGCCGCCGCAGTCGTATAAAATATTTTTAAAATTACATATTTTCGAGTCCTGACGTTAGTGATCGCGCTGTGTACTGACAAAATTTTTTTTTTAATTCCATTTAAAATGGCTGGCAAGCGTAAAAGTGAGAGTTCTCGTGGTGCTGAGAAGAAAAATAGACACCCATTTTAGATTTTCTATGTACTGTATTATTTTCGCATTTTCGACTAACTACCAATTCGACTTACAACCTGGTCGTCGGTCCCTAACCCCGTCGTAAGTTGAGGACTGACTGTACATAAAAAAATCTAAAATGGGTGTCTCTTTTTCTTCTCATCACCACAAAGCTCTCACTTTTAAGCTTGCCAGCCATTTTAAAGTTAATTACAAACAAAAATTTTGTCAGTAAACAGCGCAATCACTAATGTCGGGACTCAAAAATATGTAATTTGACAAAATTTGGGTACGACTGAGGCGGTTGTATGTCCGGGTGGTCGTAAGTTGAGTAGGTCGTAAGTCGGGGAGTAGCTGTATTGTCTTACACAAACTAATATTAAAAAGACCAATTCATGGTCTGTATTAGTACAGTGATGGAAGATAATTAAAAAATACATACAGTACTGTAGTTTAAATAAATAAAATATAGGGAATATAATGGTGAGAAACTAAAAAAACTAAAAAAAATATTATAGATAACAATAATAAAGAAGAACACAAACAAATGCACATAAATGATTATGTATTGTAAAATAAGAAGCAAAAACTGGTCAGAAACATAAAGGCACCTATTAGATATACTGTACAGTACAGGGTGTACCCAACTTACGAACGTCCCTACTTATGAACGCCTGCCAATAAGAACGGGGTTAAACTTGAAAATAACAGTATTTTATTTACCCAATGACTTATTTTTTACCTTAATTTATTGTATTTTGTCATTCTATTTCTTCTTTTCTCTTAAATTAAGTGAATTTAAGAGATTTTAAACATTGTTCTGTAAGTATGGTATGCACATAGCATGTGTTCTGACTTTGGTACAAATCCGACTGAAGAATATCTTCTGGAATGGAACCCGTTCGTAACCCATGGACCCACTGTACTGTACTGTATACAGGTATGCCCCCAATAACCGCCGCTTCACATAATCGGCAATTACATACTGTATTGGGGAAATACCCCGCAAGTTTTGTTGATACCCCGGAGATGCAACGATCGGGAAGGAGCGGCAGAGCTGTTTTGAATTTGGCAGGTGGTGGTGTGGTGCGAATTCATGCCACAAGTGGGCTCTGCGTGCTGCCTGTGACTCATTCCCATCATCTTTGCTCTGGTTTACACTCATCACGTCTCTGACTTTGTGTTTTATTGTTACAGTATTTTATTTTGTGTGCTTTGCAATCATGCATAAATGCCTGAGATAGTTCCTCTAGAGCTGCTCCTTTTAGGGGGAGCTTGATGTGATGTAATATAGCATAATAAGAGTATTGATGGACCAGCAAAGATTGGTAGAAACTTGGTTTTTTCGTTATTTCCAACTAAGTGTGTTACTCAATCATGTGTAAATGCCCAAGTGATAATTCCACTTGTGCTGGGAAGCTTGATGTAATGTGATAAGGCGCAATAAGACACAATAAGGCATAATAAGAGTGGTGATGGGCTAGCAAAGATTGGGAGAGACTTGAGCTTCCCACCCTAGTCCGTCTCTACCATCCTCAACACAGGTAAATAACAGTCTTAAATTATACTTTACATTGCTTATTTAAGGCTTATTATGCTTGCTTAATATGTCTGCTTTATTTTCTTGCTTGACAGTGTGCACGACAAAGAAATATCAAGATTAGATGGAAGTTTTTGGAGGGTGGCCGTTCACTAACCCCACAAATTTGTTATGTTCTTATGGGATTAATTGCTTCAATAACCGATGATTCACTAAACAACGATTTTTCCTGGTCCCTGTATGCATCGGTTATCCGGGTACACATGTAATATAAATTTCATGGTCCTACACTCAGAACCTCTGGGATCCTCAACATGGTCATAATCACCTAAAGGTATTGTACTTACAGTCCTTTCATAAACAGCATTGTCAAAATTGCTTAACCAATCATTTGCCTATTAAGGTTAACAGTGCAATTACAGTAACTCTGATTACAGTACAGTACTGTACAGTACTGTACTATGAAAGATATTGGGTGGGAAAAGCTAAATCAACAATCCATTATTCAAAACCTTACATGTACAGTATGTACAGTACAGTACAGTCATCTTGGTTATCTCTGATGATTTCATTATCAAACAGAATGAAATACAGTATGATTCCAGTTGACTGTTAAGCTCCACAGACACTGCAATTAAATTTCCCAAACTAATTAGGATAACTTTACAATATGTAGAGACGAAATTCTGTTGTTGATTACTGGTGTTTCAACATTAGCAACATTACATTCCTATTTCGGAACATTAAGCTATCAAACAGGGATGTACTACTGCCTGGGAAGATATTGGAAGCAAAATGTGTTGTCTAATGGTAGACCCTGCTGCCATATGGCATCACAAAAATTTTGACAAAGTCCCAGGTTGCTGATCTGACTGAGTTTCTGCCTCATTTACACACAATTGCAGAGTCTCAATTGTTTATCTTACTTTGACAACAGGCCCCAAGGTGGGTCGGTGACCTATGCTTGGTTGGGCTAATCCCCATAGAAATACCGAAGGCTTTTCATTTGACAATGGCTAACATTAAAATATCAGAAAATAATTATTTGAAAAGTAGATAAAAATTTTGCGTAATTTATTGGAATTTCCAATACTGTATTGTGGCACTAATCCACTGTACTTCATTCAGTAAATTTACAATGTCAAAACATTACGGGTTTGGAAGATACCCAATATACCCTAACTTTAACTCCTAGCATCATGTTCTGGAATTGTGATGCTTACCACTCAGAGAAAAATATTTTACACAACGACAGACAACTGCTGTAAGTCAACATGGTCAAGCATCCCTTGTTATGTGCATAAAACTAACACAGCTTTGATCAAGGATGTGGGTCCTGAGAATTCTACATGTTGGTACACAAGAGAATCAAATGTGGCGGGTCGCTGCCATAGACTTCGTTGCAAAACCGCTCTACAGTACAGTAACTCTTCATAAAATGTTGTAGGTCAAATGGGCCCCAATCCTTATAGGTCGCAAACTAATCTAACACAATTTAACTGATAGGATTAGGACTGAGTCACGATACTTATGGTAGGATTGGAGTTCATTTGCATCAAGCCACAACCCCTAATATATTAAGTTGGGTACACTAGGGCTGAGCCATATGTCTTTAAGTGTTTAAAGCCAAGTTGGGGTCCATTTGACCAGTCACCCTGAAAATGAGTCACCGATGAATTAAAGGTTAAACAACAACTCAAAGGCCCTGTCACGGGTCACCTAACACAAAACAACCCTTGAGTTTCAACAGGTAAAAATACTACACCACATTGCCCAATGTGTTATGCCCCTCTTGGACCTGAGAGGGACCTGGTGAAGTATAAACATGCAAAGGATGATTGAAGGCCACACTGTCCCCCAGTCTTCCAAAAGGATAAGTAACAGGGACTTTAAGACTACCGTAGAGCCCATGTATTCATCCATCCTGTGGAGACTAGGGAGAGCAGAGGTTCTTTAAAAAATTTCGATCAGTCAACAAGATACTGTTGAGGATAGGGCGGGTGGCTCTCTGGGTGGACGAAGGTCGGGGCAGGAGTGAAGAAATGAAGGGTAGGTGGCAGGAGAGGGTAGCAGCAGGGGGTGGAGGGATGGAAGGAGCGCAGCAGTAGAAGAGGGTCAGGGGCAGTATTATCGATCAATGTGACCCAGAATTACTGTACCAGCTCCAGTATCGGGTGGCACCTCGGACAAACACACGCATAACTACCACTGCTGATAAATTATGAATCTCATGGATTTTCCCGGAAAGACCAGTGGCTGGGCTGATGCACTGGATTGTAGCGGTATCAACTGTGGATAACCTACACCGCCCTTGCTACCCATCACCCATTGCCTGCCATAGCAGCGATCACCATCTATGCCACCAGCTGTTTTACCCATGCTATCCATCACCACCTCCACATCTCACGGATCCAGGAAAAAGTTGCAAATACTTTACTAACTGTACAGTACCAGGAGTGGAAAATGTCATCAAGTCATCCATCTATTTACCTGGAGTCATTAGTTGCCTCTGGTCATCATTTAGCCCCAGGGTTGCTATCTTTAAGGGGGGTCCTGTCTGCAGTTACCACGATAATCTCTCTCTCTGTGTGTGTGTGTGTGTGTGTGTGTGTGTGTAATAATAATAATAATAATAATAATTAACGGTTTATTGAAAGAGCTTGGCAGCCAGAAGGCTGAAAATATACAGTTACATATTTGGGGAGTGGGTTACGAATTACAAATAATATACAAGTAACATAAGTGACACAAATAAGACATATAGTAACTTAGATGGGGATCAGCTCAAACTACAGTTCATTTCAACATAGTGACAGTGTAGGGAGCAGTGTTTACTGGGAGTGAATACTGATTTATTGCTGTGTGTGTGTGTGTGTGTGTGTGTGTGTGTGTGTGTGTGTGTGTGTGTGTGTGTGTGTGTGTGTGTGTGTGTGTGTGTGTGTGTGTGTGTGTGTGTGTGTGTGTGTGTGTGTGTGTGTGTGTGTGTGTGTGTGTGTGTGTGTGTGTGTGTGTGTGTGTGTGTGTGTGTGTGTGTGTGTGTGTGTGTGTGTGTGTGTGTGTGTGTGTGTGTGTGTGTGTGTGTGTGTGTGTGTGTGTGTGTGTGTGTGTGTGTGTGTGTGTGTGTGTGTGTGTGTGTGTGTGTGTGTGTGTGTGTGTGTGTGTGTGTGTGTGTGTGTGTGTGTGTGTGTGTGTGTGTGTGTGTGTGTGTGTGTGTGTGTGTGTGTGTGTGTGTGTGTGTGTGTGTGTGTGTGTGTGTGTGTGTGTGTGTGTGTGTGTGTGTGTGTGTGTGTGTGTGTGTGTGTGTGTGTGTGTGTGTGTGTGTGTGTGTGTGTGTGTGTGTGTGTGTGTGTGTGTGTGTGTGTGTGTGTGTGTGTGTGTGTGTGTGTGTGTGTGTGTGTGTGTGTGTGTGTGTGTGTGTGTGTGTGTGTGTGTGTGTGTAATAATAATAATAATAATAATAATAATAATAATAATAAACGGTTTATTGAAAAAGTTTGCAGCCCGAAGGCTGAAAATATACATTGGACATAAATGACTTATTACATACATTAGTGGTATAACAAAAGCCTTCATTAGAGAAAGGTGAAGGAACATATACAGTGAACATACATATTAATGTTTACACATGTAGATCATGTGAGCAGAGGTGTTGAACAGCAGACACATAGAGTAGTAACTCCCTCACGGATGGCGTTATTAGGGGCATCATGTGGAGTACTAGTTCCCTCACAGGTGGTGTTATGAGGGGCTTGACATGGTGTAGTAATTCCCTCACAGATGGTGTTACGAGGGGCCTGATGATGTAGTAGTTCCCTCACAGATGGTGTATGGGGGGCCTGATGATGTAGTAATTCCCTCACAGATGGTGTTATGAGGGGCCTGATGTGGTGTAGAAATTCCCTCACAGATGGTGTATGAGGGGCCTGATGTGGTGTAGTAATTCCCTCACAGATGGTGTTATGAGGGGCATCACATGGCATAGTAATTCCCTGACAGATGGTTTTTTGAGGGGCATCACATGGCATAGTAATTCCCTCACAGATGGTGTTATGAGGGGCATCACATGGGGTAGTAATTCCCTCACAGATGGTGTTATGCGGGGCATCACGTGGTGTAGTAATTCCCTCGCAGATGGTGTTATGAGGAACTTCACATGATGCTGTAGCAACTCATTCACTACGTGGTGTCGTGCATCATGGGGACACCACGTGATTTGTTGTCACAGGACTTCACTCACTCAAGTGGGTGTGATGTGGTCCCAGGCCTCCCTATCGTGGAGTCTCTGGGGAATTATCACTGGGTACCTGGGACCTCACTGTGTGAAGGTTATCTTGCTCAGACTCAACTGCAGAGTTGCTTTTCACGGACTTAAGCACTGTTCACCACTATTCAACACTGGTTCCATTCCTTTCCCAAATGAAATAGTAACTTCTGGCGAGAACTTGTTGATATTCCGGTGGGGAGGAGGGTTCAGGGGGAATTGGTATGAGCAGCGCCAGGTGCGTCTGACCCGTCTTGACCCGTCGGTGGTCAAGAATGTATGTATGTGTGTGTGTGTGTGTCAACCTGTGCTGTAATGGTCAGCAGGCTCGCTTCCCAATCAAATGGACCAGGTTCGATCCTCGGGCAGAGTGAAACTATAGGCAAGTTTCTTTATGCCATTTGCCTCCGTCTACCCAGCAGCAGTGGGGACCTGGATGTTGATCAATTTGCAGATCGTGTTCTGGGGCAATGGTTAGCCAGTGCTGTTGGCGAGTTGTCTGGTTTTCTCGGACTGTTCTTTGACAGAGGGTCATGCAACTCGTTAACTTAGGGTGTAGTTGTTGTGTTGGAGACAGCTTCTACTCCTGAGGCCAGCCATCCTCGATTTTGAGGGGCATCCATTATTATTTATGTCTGTATGTATGTGGTGTAATGGTCAGCATGCTCGCCTCGCAAGCGAAACGAACCCGGAGTTCGATCGACGAGGTTGAAACTATGGGCGAGTTTCTTTATGCCATTTGCCTCTGTCTACCCAGCAGTAATTGGAAACCTGGACGTCAATCGATTTGCAGTTCATATTCCGGGGTAATGGTTAACCAGTACAGTTGGTGAGTTGTTGGGTCTTCTCAGACTATTCCTTGACACTGGGTCATGCAGCTCATAACTCAGGATGTGGTTGTTGTATTGGCGATAAACTACACCTTAAACAAATTCACGCCTAGAGTCCTCTAGGGCCGCCATCTTTGTTACACGAAGGGCACCAGCACATGTAATAATAACGTAACATGTGCAAATGTATGTATGTATGTATATATATATATATATATATATATATATATATATATATATATATATATATATATATATATATATATATATATATATATATATATATATATATATATATATATATATATATATATATATAACAAAAAAAAATATATATATATATATATATATATATATATATATATATATATATATATATATATATATATATATATATATATATATATATATATATCTAAAATTTGACGAGATGTAATAACAAAGGTGATGTAATACCAAGTTAATGCACACGATATTGTGATTTGTGATTAATGTGTGTGTGTGTTGCCTCCCTCAATCACTCGTCCCCTGATGACAAAGACAACAGGCACGACTTGTGGCGCTTACTGCAACACGTCCATACGGGCACCGCCACTCACAAAACATGACCATGATGATCTATGTATCGACTCAAAAGAGCTAACACCACCACTCTTCTTTACCCCACACCCGAATGACCATTACGCAGTTTCTATAAAAAAAAAAGACCAAAAAAATACATTACTAGATTACAAAATTACAGACGCGGTGTCCAGAACAGTTAATATTAAGTTGTTGGGGCAGCAAGATTACTACGTAAGTAAGCGCACAGTAAACAATTAGATGTTGAGAGTTTCTCCTCCTTTCTCTCTCCTTCCTTCTATCCCTTCTCCAGACACCTACATCACATGGCACGTGTCTCTCTCCCTCTATTATTCTCCTCCTTCCCTCCTCCATCCTCAAAGTCCCTCTCCTTCTCCTCCTCCCACACTTTCTTTCCTTCCCTCCCCCTTCTTCAACCCTACTACTCTCCTAAGCGACTTTTCGCTCCTCCCATCGTCTTCTCCCAGGGCCTACACGCCCAACAGACAGTTTCCCATCACTGTCTCTTCATCTCTAACCACCCACCCCCTTCTCCTATCTCTCTCTCCCCCCCCATCAACCCTCCTATCCCCTCCTCTCCCCTCTACTCAAACCACATTTTCCCTTCTCCTCTTCTCCAACCTTCCACACTCCCACTACTACCATCCTCTTTCACCTCATCATCAACCTCTCCTTCCCTCCCATCAAAGACCAGACAAGGGCCTTCATTTACACCTGCCCCCTAACAATGCCTAATAAAATCACAGCATTTCATAGCCCCTGAAGACATACTCACCCGTAGTAGGTTGGAGTCCTGAAGCCAAGACAACAGCGTGAGCTCATCGTCAGTACGAGGTCCCGAGGACGACCCCAACACCGACGACGCTGACGAAGACGACGATTGTGGTGACAAGGAGGGCGGTGGAGACGAGGAGGGGAAGAGGAACTGGGAAGCCGTGGAAGGGTGGGAAGTGGTCTGCTGTGGGTGGCAGAGGAGAAGGTCGCCAGCCCCGACCACGCACGCGGAGGTAGTGGTGATGGTGTTGGTGCTGGTGGTGATGCTGGTGGTCGAGCCCGTCACTACCTCCACCAGTCTGCTGTTGCCACCGCCACCACTGCTGCTGTTGTTCTCCTGCTGTTGATGAAACAGAAAAGACACATTCAGTCAACTCAAGCTGTAAACAATTTTCCAACTCAGAGTTAAGTATCACGACCCCCTCCACACGCACACACTTAGTACTTTTCTGTCACTCAGAATCAACTATGATGATCATACAGTTATAATACAATGATATGAGTTATTAAAAATGTTACCTTCGTTGGTATCTCACAGATAACTCGAGAGGCAGATATAGGACCGGCGGGGCCGTCCACAGACGTAACACGTGTGGAGGCCAACATACGAAAGTAGTGACACTCGCGTGGTGCTTCTCCAAGCATTATAATGGAGTGATCGTCTCCCCAGGTGAGGGGCCAATTTACCCTTTCAAGTTTTTCTTAAGATTATCCTTATACCTTTCCATTGCCCGTCAGTAATTTAGCATTCGTTAAGTGACAGTAAAGTAGCTGCCTTGGCAGCTGACTGTAGATAATTTCAGCTCCCAAACACTTTAGAAACGGCAACAGATGCACATCGATCTGATGTGAATCTCTTCATCAATACATTTCCATTGGTGGCAGGTGAGAGCCAAGATACTGATATTGAAAGTGGGTAACATTACAGAGGGTAGTGCTGCTACCCTGAATGGATGGCAGGGCCGCATACGTGTTCTAAGATTTTGCACGGTGTGAGTGACAAGTTATATCACCTAGCATACTCAAGTTCATGGAAGTGGCTAACACCTTTGCCCGCATGAAGTCGTTTTAATTTAAAAAGTCCTTCATCTGCTCCTAAATTGGCACTGGCACGAAGCGAAGGCAGCCAGCAAACAAAAAGAGGCTGGTGCAAGTAAACATCATGCTTAATTCCCATTTGGATGGGGAAATAACCAAACCAGTACCGTTCACACCATCGTGCAGTTGCCTCCACAATAAAAATAACAGAATTTTGGTGGCAATCAAAACGACCGAAGGGCTGCCAAAGTACTTCCTGACAGAGTCCAAGCATGCAAAGGTCGATGAAGGCCATGCTAAGTCACAACGTTATTTCTAACTTTTCCCAGAATATGACGACAAGCAAACATCATATAAGTGGTGCCGATGATGGTCCAAACCACCCTTAGATTCTAGGAGGAAGCGTTCGCTTTAGGAAGAAGTCTGCCCTTCGAGGACTGGCTAATCTTGCTGACAGAAAGACTGGCCTCCCTTGTTCTTAAAAATTGACGATAGTGTATCAAAGATCTTGGGAGATTACCTTCTCCTCTATATTCTCCAGGAGACTGGAGATGGCTGGTTGCTTTATACAACCTCGCTGGGATTTCTTCAACCCCTGTGGCTTTGTTATTCATCATCTGCCTTGATGGCAGTAGGTACCTCATCACGGGATGGAGGATAGCTCAGGTGGGTCAGGTCTAGGTACTGAGGGACTTGCTGGGTAGTCAGTATCATCCACAGTAGTGCTCTTTCCAGCACTGACATAAGCGAGAAAAACACCCGATGAACAGGGGACCAAACACATTGCTTTAGTGCAGGGTTCTCAAATCAGAAGTTTTCAGAAACAGATACATAAAATCACAAAGTATTGCATTATATGCATATTTGAATGCAAACTTTTGAGGCACAATCCTGAAAGGAGGGAATAATACAATCTGACATGGTAAAAGGCAAACAAGGTTGAGAACCACTGCTTTAGTGGAATTGAAAAATTCACACATCTCGAGTAGATCTGCAAATTTTTGTGTTTCACACACTTTATTTTTCCATCATTCATCCTTTAGATTGCAAAGCCTTGTTCTAGGCCATTGATTTTTTCTGCCATTAAAAGCAGCATGTATCAAAGGATAGAGTACATTTCTCAAGTAATCCATCCAAATTAATCCTGGTGTTTGCTCTCGACTGCTGAGAGTCTCACTGCAGATTTTTGTGATGACAGAGTTAAAAGACCCCACTCGGCACTCAGATTTTGGTTGTTTGTTGTTTGGTTGTTTATCATGCCCATCGTCATGCTGCTCTCTGGCTGTTTACTGCTAATCTCAGTCAAGCTTGGCATTAAAACCTCATTTGAGCCTTGTTGACTTCCCACAATTTAAAAGCACGGTGAATTTTGGCCTAGACAGAGCGATGATCTGCAAAATACAGTGGCTCCAGCCACGCATGGCTCAGGTGATGAGGACATCAAGGCGATTTCTTTCTGACAATGTTAGAAGCCAATGAGATGCCAATATTTGGATTGTGGGTGATGCCAAACCCTTGAACCCATTAGCCCCTAACAAGGTGTTGGCAGCAGTGAGGCTTACTAGCACACTTAATGAGGAAGAAGTAGTCATTGATTACACTCTGTATTCCTCTCTGGTTCCCAACATAAGTCAACATCTCTGCTAACTGGACTTGAAGTCAAACCTAAGAACACAACCTTTTCTTTATATAAAGAACAGAGGATATATTCTGTCAAGGTTACATAGAAGGCCTCCTTGATGCCCACCCTACACCAATGACCTCAACAGACCCAAGTTAGCCTATATAAGATGGATTAAGGAATGGCAAAACAACTCCATAAATGTGTTTTCTCTGCAGCAGGCTATGCCCTTCCAGAGAAGCAATAAGCCGGACCCGTGTTCTGCAGAGCCTAACCCTGTCTGGGAGCTGACCACTAATGGCTACATGTTTATGTTTATCGATGCACAAATCTTTTGCCACAGGGGCTGTTTCTCTTTCAGGCCGCCATTAATACCAATATCCAGATGAGACCTGATATTCCAGTAGCAACTATATAGAGAGAGGACAGTTTGTTTTTGCTTTTGATCAGTGATTGTGTTTTAACACATTAGGATAACCTTACTGGGTGTGGTTACCCAATCAGGTTGTTTTTGTTAGAAGGCTTAACACTAACATAATGCTGCCACACTAGATGCATTACACCATCACACATAACAAGCACGTGCCACACACGCACACACATACACACTACATCCCCAGACCAACGAAGGTCAAGACTAGTTCATCGCTGCTCCTGTGAGCAGCACCCCTTGGCCAATGTCTACCCATTCCCCAAGTCCTCTCCCAACCCATCCTCACCACCGATATCAACATAATCAAAAGTAACAATTTCAAAAATGGGACCAGTGTTGAGAAGTGAGAACAGTGTTTAAGCCAGTGAATCCAGCACTAGACAGTGCCAGGAGAGCCATGACCCAGTGAGATACAAGCACCCTGGAACTGACCGCCACCTCGACAAGAGGTGCTAATCAGTTTACCCTGGGAACAACAGTGGGTCGGCTTCACACCCGACTTCGAAATAACACAACATCATTTCAGCAGGAGCGGCATCAGAACACCACCTCCCACACCACCGCGTCCTATGACCACGCAGGTCCTTCATATCAACACTCGAGGACGAATTACTGCACCATGTGAACACCAAACCACCTGGTGTCCCCGCACCACGTGTGGTCTCATAACACCTCGGTGACGAGTTACTGCACCACGCGGAACACCACACCATCCGGTGTCCCCATGACCACGCGGTGGTCCATCATATCAACACTCGAGGACGAATTACTGCAACGGCTACAACATCCGCGTAAGCCGTCGCCGCGCCAGCATGGCGAAGCCTGCTCAGCGGGCGCCAGGCTCTGCTCCACGATACGGTCGGCGGCCGCGAACGCAGACGACGGACAGCCCGGTGACGACACGCAGGCACTGTACAGGACGAGGTCCCCATCTATGAGAGGTCCTCACCGCATCTTCCAATACGGGCGTAGGGCGGTGGAGGTCAAAACGGTCGCGGTAAACTCAGTCCTCACACTCTCCAAGAGCGATGTAGGAGGGTCACCGAAAGCGCGGTCCGTAGTTCCCGGCGGCCAGATCGTTGTCGGGTGGCGAAGACCGAGGCCTGGGTGCTGGCGAGGGACCGGTACGGCCTGCAAGTGACGATGTTGCTGACGCGGGGAAACGCCCGTGCTGAGCATCTCGGTTTCAGGTGAAGCGGCCGACGGGGAGCGAAAGAGGGAACTGGATGCACAACTCTCTACTTGTGCGCGCTAAGCGTGAAGACGAAGGCCAAAATCTTCCTTCAGGCTGGAGGCTGATTCTCGATGGCTAATATATTTTCAAGAATGGGGACCAAGGGCCTGTGGTCTGTGATGAGGTTTAAGTGCTGTAGACCAATCAAGGTGGAATTTGCACTTGAAGGCGGCCCACACTACCACAGCAGCTCCAGCTCGAGCAGAAGGAAATAGACCAAGCATCGGTGAGGAAATATGGTACTGTTTCTCCACCGTGATCCCCGAGAAGCATGGAACCAACCCGCATGGCGCTGGTGCACCAACTGATGACGTAGAAGCGCTGGGTCGAAAGAGTGCAGGATAGGTGGATTCTGACAGGGCCTCCTTCAATTTTATATGAAAGGCGAGGCCGTGGTCATGGGTCCACGTGAAAGTCCTCTTTGGGGCTCATCAGAGGGCGGAGAGGCCCGGCAGCGCGATGTGGCTGCCAGGAGAAAGTTCTAAGGCCATCAATTACAGCCCATGAAAGACCTGGAGATCCGAAAGGCGTGGCTTCAAGTCCCATGCAAGCAACTTTCTGCAACCCAGCAGTCGCCATCCCTTGGAGAGTCGGTAGCCAAGAGAAAGACACTGCAGGCAGCCAAGACGAACTGCATTCACAGAGATGCCATGCGTCCTACACCTGGCATCAGTACTCAAACCGAAGAAAGCAAGATGTCAGGTAGTCTCATCAGAGAGTACGTCATCCCACCTTCACGCAAAGCTGGTCACGCCTTGAAGTGCCATGTCACCAAAGAGACAGAAGGCGTCCCATAGCAGCGAACCTGAAATACAGCAGAAGTGTCTGCATATGAAAGTGGTCATTAACCTCCTTCTTCCAGTGGGATCAGCCAGTAAACCACAGAAGCTGCCACACCGGTCCACATCTGCAAAAAGGTGTGGTGAAGGGTGGGCGGACGGACACCTGGCTGTTAAGCCAGACAAGTCGGCAGAATCCCCACCAACCGTTAGTCTTAGCCACAGCCAGAGGCAC